GAAAGCATTGAGCTCCTGTTTGACGTCTGATACGCCCTTCAGTGCGTGCGATAACGATCTGCTCTTTGAGTTATCAACTTTGTTGATTACCTTAAACCAGACTGCTCTCAGGTTGAAAAAAAAGACTGTTTTGAAGCTGGAAGTTAACTCACGCTCTGGACAACGCTTATCAGCCGATAAGGCGCTTTGTGATGTGATTTCGTCTGACGAGTATATGTTACCAGCCTTTCTATCGTTATCATAAACTCATCTGCACTCATTAGGGTGCGACCCCAAGGCCTGGCTTAGAGAGAGAGGGGGCACATTGTTGTCGGGTTTTTTAGTTGTTTTTAAGCCCCAAAATTTTGCCTTGTGTTACTGCGCCACATAGTGATTTCGCCTCTGACAGCCAGTTTAAGATACAGTTTCAAACTGCATCTTAAAATTAAAAATTTCTCAAAAATTTCTTTAAAGTACACCGATCTATGGCTAGCACATTTACGTGGTATCCTCCAACCCTCTGCTTCCACATCGGGTAAGCGTTCTGTTAGTAGTATAGCAATAAGGATAGGTACCTCTGTGGTCTGATACAGTTTGCACCTGCTAGATGTGTGGTGTGATTTCTTAGTTGCTTGTCGTGATATTTGTGAATTCTGGACTTTTAAGCGCTACCAGACAAATTGGGGTACTGAATTGGCACTGACAAGATAAGACAATTTGACAAATTAATACGACGCATTTTGAGGTAGTAATAACTGTTCACCAACAGCCAACCAATTGTCGCGTGTGTTGGTTGCGTTGCATAAGCAGCCATGTTCGAAAACGGTCTCAGGACTGAAACCTCGAGTGAACACAATTTTGCCAGTTGAATTAAAGCAAACTTTGTGCGCTTCCCAAAGCAGTGTCCGTAAACTTGAAACTCATGTGATTCCAAGAAAGAAAAGGGCCATTAGCCTCCCAGGAAGGCAGTTTAATCGGAGTGAGTGTTTCCACAACCAACCCCACTGCCCAGGGGCTATCGGAAGCAAGAATTAGCCCCCGGTTCACGCATTCATTTACCGCAAGGCCTTTGAACTGCGTGAGATGCAGGCTGGTAAAAGTTTGCATTGGCAGCTGCCATAAATTGGTTTGGAGAGGTAAGCCATAATCCAGATGAAGTAATGCTCAAATGACGCCTACGTGTGGTAGGTTATTTGGATTGAATAGATCTTTAGGGGGATGAGTCAACAATTATTAGGTTGGGCAGTGGTAGCCTAGATTTGTTGACACCGTAAAATCGATTTTTTTAAAATTAGAAAATGCTCTGACGCCACAACTGGAGTCACGATTGTACAAATGCCATTAGACAGTTTTGATTTTTGCGCAATTGAAAATAAGGTGTCTTTCTGTTGGGGATCCACGATTCCCCAAGATTGGTTTCTGATTTTATTTACATTAATTTATTAACATTTGTTTTGCTACGCTTTTATCAGGTCAAGGTCAAACTTGACTTGAATTAGTTTTCAAATTACTTTCGATTTCGCTTCTTCCCTGTACGTAGCTGACGTGAATACAGCCCTCTACTCGAGCTCGGGTCTTGTTCTGGTATTAGCCTGGGAAGGTCGGTTCTAGCTTTCAGCGAAGGATCTGGTACCGTTATTTGAGTGATATTCTCTATTGTTACGGGCAAACGTAACACTTTCTCGATAAAGTGTGAATCGACACTACGGTGTCGTGCCGATAATCGATTTTTTTAAAATTTGGGTGTGATCTAACGCCGCACTAATATTAACGAAAACACAAACGTAATGCACAATCACTCACTGTATTCAGATCATTTGGTAAACAGCGCACAACTTGCGTCACGTTCATACCACCGCCATTTGACAGTCCTGATCTTGGTGCAATTGACATTGATTTCTTAATTTGGCACAATTCTCCAAATTAACTGATTGGATAAAATACAATGCTTTCCACTACACCTTCATTTAAAACAACTACTTTCTCCACTGCTAACCATACTAATTTAGCTTCTCCCAAATCAAACCGAAAAAATTGACTACTTGTGTCTATTTGTTTTAATGCACTCTGACCCCGACGTGATGTGCGCCCACAATTTTCATTGGCTACATTGCATGAACGAAATTTGCCCTTGTGTGGCCATTTGAGGTGATCACAAAAATCCCCAGAAATGCTCGCATCTGAAAACAAGTGTATAGGACGCATGTAATGGATTGCGTGCAATTTGCAGTCAACAGCACGGGGCTTTTTCAGGATTACTTCGCGCCGACACACAGGGCTGCTTACTTTCGGCAAGAAGCAAATAATATATTACTTCGCATTTTGGCACAAAAAGCCAGGCCCAGTGTGATCGTGACAAATCTGACGGGGCTCTAATGTCGACATTAGGAAAAAAAGGCCACTTCTGTAGGGAAGAACGAGGGGTTCGGAGTAGGGATGCTTTAGGCCTGTGAGGACTTGGTGTTTCCTTCTTTAGGCGCGCTAAATTTGATTTGCTTGTGCTGTTCAAATCTATTTGTGAGATATCGTCACTTATTTTGCCCAGTGAGTGGACGAATTTAAACCAAGGTCATTGCCGTGTGTAGTTGCTTTATTTTGCATTGGCGAAAATAGCTAAATTAGCCTGAGAACTCGTTTGTGAGGCCGTAGCCCAACGTGTGTGAACCAATGAAAAGCAGCTAAATGCATTAAAATACCTGTTTAGTGCAAATCACCTTTGCTGTGTTCAGTTTATTTAATGAAAGAAGCCTTAAATGTGGGTGCGTGTGTTCTTCAGTTTTAACCCGATGTCGTTTTTCGTTTTTTTCTTCTTCCTCATTTTAAAGTCGCAGATTCAACTAGTCTCTTTGGAATTTAGCTATGGAATGTGTTGCATCTACTTTTGCACAAGAAACGCGGCTAATCATAAAGGTGAAGCGCCACATTGCTCATGACCATTAAGTAGTATCGGCATTCAGTTGGACACTTTTGAGAAAAGTTGCATTCCCAAAACTGGCGCTTAGTTTTGGCTCGATATGTACGGTACCTATGCACGCCATGGGGTTTGGTATCTTAATAATGTTTAGCAATCCTACTGAGTCTAATGCATTAAGTAGACTGGTGTCTCTCGACAAAGTGTGACGCAGCACTACCGTTTCGTGTTTAAAATGTCTACTTAAGCTTTACTAATAGCAAGTTTATACAAAGGCTGAGAAAAGCAATCGAGAGCGCGTCATCGCCGTTTTTTGTAACCAACTAAGCAACATGAACTCACGACAATTGCGACAGCAGTACAGTCAGAGTCAGATCATGAGAATTAATATTCTGACAAGCATTTATGTCTTTTGAATAAACAGAACCACTGCAATGGGGACATTTTTCGGGAACTTGATTTGTCAATTTAGCCACCAAATAAAACAAGATGTGGCGGGGTTTTTAAAATAGAAGTACGCGACTTCTACAAATCACGGTAATCTATAAAAACGTTCATTTAATTTTTTTATCTTTTACAAAGAAAATACACAATAATTTGATAACACACCACCAGACACAAATTCATGCCCAATTTTAAATGTCCACTTAGCTGAACCTACTCAATACAAACGCCTTCACAATCATCGGAAGCACTGTTTCTTGAAAGGCGCTATTTATGTATCTGAGACTATGTGCTGAAAACAAATCGATAACCACGCCAATGGCAGTACTACTCAAACTGATTTCAGCCTACCTGTCACTCCACACAACAAATGTGCGACCTCTGACCTCATCAGCGCTAACTTATAAATCATATAAAGCATGCAAGGATGGTTGTTTCATGAAATTTATGTAAAACTGGATGTTCTAGTTACCGGAATTAAGGACAGATGTATTAAAAACGGCTTTGTCAATGAGAACAAATTCTATCCGATAACCCAAGAAAATAAATATTTAACAAAAAACGAAACATATATCACTAACGTGAGAAAAATATGACTCTTTTCGGCCGACTTTGACAAACTGACTTATACGAACACACCCAGCCTGGTCACACGTAACCCAAATCTGGGATCTCCGGACTTTCAATTAACCGTCGTTTCCCAGGTCTTTATGAACCCCTTTGGCCTGGTTTCCTATACCCTGCACGATTACTAACTCGCAGTGGATGCACAAGAACGAACACGGACGAGCGAGACCAAGTGAGAAAAAACCTCCACGCCACTTGAATTTCTACTTCTGCTCCCTCAACAAACCCACTTCTTTTTCTACGCACGCTCAAGTTAACACGGCCAACTGTGAGTAGGGCGCAGAATTATCTCCAGTCAAATTGCGCTAAACCGACTTAACACCTCGCAGCAAGATGTGGTGGTGGCGCCGGCTTCAGAAGACGGAGTTCTGCACAATACGACCATCACGTTGCGGTTCGTTTGTACTTTTGCGAGTTCAGGCGGACTGGCCGGATCGACAACGCCCGTGAGTCAGACACGACCTCTCGCCCTCGGTGGCGCGATACCATAAGCGGCTGAGTTTGTCCCTCACCCCCCTTGGTGCTGCGCGTTGCCACAACACTCTCAAGCCAGTGTGCCACCCTCTTGGGATTGGCTGTTCATTTCGAAATACACCAACAGCGACTGCGTGAGACAGTGCGATGTCAAAGTGCTCTGACGTCGCGTCCGAAACTAGCCCTTCAGCAAGTAAATCCTCATCTGATCGATTTTGTTTCATACAATCACTCCATAAATGGGATTTTGTGCGGGGATTGAACTGAAAACCGTTGTTTTACAATCTGCCAGAATGCCACCAGAGAGAGGGGCTTTATTTAACCGGCTTGTGGAGGTGCCGAGAAATTAAACAAACATTATTTTTTTTGTAAACCAAATAGCGACAAGGCAGCTACACTAAATGCCAGATAAGTTTTCTGACTGCCTAATTTAGGAACTGCTGGTCTAATTCTAGAGGACAGTAATCGCAGATGGCCTCTTTGACAAGACATTAGGGAAAAAAGATATGCATTTATAAATGACTACACCATGGACAACGAAACGTAGACTGCACAGTAAGTTCGACTAGGGAGATCTTAGAGTGATAAAGGAGTAGAAGGAGCAGCGACTGACCAATTTCGTCGACGGAGATGCAGAAGGGCTACGGGAATGAGGAACGGGAGGTTCGTTAATGTTCGAAGAACGGCTGGAGGTTCCTGGTTCCTCCGCTTTGGCACCTGAATCGCCCTCGGATTTTTTATCCACATCGGCACCCCCAGCGTCGCCACTTTCCGACTTCACAGCCGGTGCATCCTGTTTCGGGGGGCGGTCAGAAGACGCAGGAGTGGGCAGGGCGGAGTTTGAGGAGGCCAATTCGTCAGTGAGCTGAATCACCGCGGCCGTAGCCTCGGCAAGGGATGCCCTTGTGCGCGCAAGCTCCTCCTCAGTAGACCGAAGCTCATCAGTCACCTAGAGACAATGTGGGGTCACAAAACGGACAAGAAAACTGATGCGAATCTCTTCTGGTTCAAGATGGGGAGCAACACGGTTTCCACTGAAGGCGCGTGGGAAATTAAAGGTTGTTTGATCAGATCTCTGACAAAAAGACTTCCCTACCAAGGCACCGAACCTTATTGATCGCGTTCACAGGAGTTTCCCACAGTGGAGTGAGGGTCTCAAGTACACCCTGTTTGGCGTTGTGATCAGCACGCGCGTTTATCGATCGCACATGGACTTGCAATCAAGGGCGTTGGAGCGGCACAGAGTAGTCCACGATTGATTTTCACACGAAGCTCCTGTTTTTTTGATTCTCATACTTCATCTCTATTCGATTTGGTGTACGTTGTGGAACCAATGAACATTTCCCAAGCTCCGTCGACCTAAATTACTGTGGGGCCGGTGAAGACAACCAACAAACCGACGCTGAAAGCCGATATTACCCGTTCCACTCAATTTCAAACGTGTGTAGTAGATTATGCGTAATCGGCTACCACAAAAACACTTCAAATGTCGGCACACACAAAGGGGAAATCGCGTAACTCGAAACACCACGTTTGAGATTGAAACAGTAGGCTGTAAAATGTAGAACCATACACAGCGAAGCCAAAAAACGGCTGACACGTCTACCAAAGAGTGGCCGAAACAAGAGGGGATATTGCTTGCATCGCAAAAAAAATATTGTTTTTGCGGGTTTCAATTGATTGCTGGGGCCGTCTAGTGCTGATAGCTAAACGCATTGCTCAAATGATGCAAACTTGTGTCAGCTAACAACAGCCGCCTAACGGGGAACAGTCGTGCTTAGTGAGGTGGCAACCACGTGCCAAAAGGAAGCCGCCTGTTCAAAGGCCATAGGTCTGCGGCACCGCGTCAGTGTTGAGCACCGAATGCACACGTTCAGAACACGTCTTGGGGTGTTTGTGTGAATGAGGGGTCCGTGAGAGATGGCGTGCGCAGCAGGCATTAGCTTAGAACGCACACACGAAATTGCCGCTCGCAACCGCATATTCACCAAGGGGTTGGAAAACACCAGAGGCGCTCACCATTTGACAGTCGTTTGCGGCCTCCTTCGACTTGCGTCGATAACGGACAATCTCGTTTTTAAGTTGCTTGTTTTGCAGCTGCAGAGTTGTAATGAGGCTGCGCATTTCACTGTTAATGGGACCAGCCTGCTCGTTGTGCGCGACCGTCTGTTTGAAGTCTGCCTCGATCATCTCGAATTCCCTTCGGAGTTTGGAGTAGAGCTCTTCCTGTGCCAGCATTTCACCACGCATCTGGTTCAAAATGGCTGTCTCGTTTGCCTACATTGGAGGTTAACGTAAAAAAGCAGGTAATTAATACATAGGAAAGTACCACAACAGTTAAGACGCATTATTTGTCAAACATGAATGCAGCTTAGGCTTGATTTAAATAATCTGCGAAGCGGTAAGCCTAATTTCTACGATGAAATCAACTAGCTTTGATCAAACGGTCGACAGCAAATGTAGCATGACCTAAAAAAGTCATGTTTTTGCTCTCGTCAACAATACTGACATCACCTTGTTAAAAATAACATGGAACGACCCCGTTTATAATGTTTGAAAAGCGATCGTGACAAATTTTGAAAGACAAGCTTCGGAAACGTTAGAGTCGAAATCAGTGGCCTCTTTTGGCGTTCAAAATTAGCGAAAATCGGAGTGGAAATATCGTGGAGCAAAAATTCACGATCATTATTCAAAGCGAATTTAATTACAGAGGAAGGAATACGCCTTCCGATGGAATTTTACGTCGGAGTGATGCAATGCTGGGAGGCCCGGCATTCAACAAAATTATTAAAAAAATATTGCACCACACCACGAAAGTGACGCAGTTAAAAGGAGAAGAGGAGGCTCCTTGTTTTTTTTTTCAACTTGCGTGTGGAAAGCCCTTTCTTGGATGTACTTTAACTGCATCACTAACAGTTCTTTGAGATGGTCGCAAAAGATTGAAAAAGCATTTCCCATGACTCAAATCGTAGGAGAGACGCACAGGAAGTAGTGAAGCAATTAGTGGACCGACAAGTCGAAGGGGGAGAGTGAAAAACAACCCACCTCCATTTCCTCGATTTGCTTGAGGTGAGCATTGCGAATTGTTTGAGTCATGTTCCGCGAGTCCTCTAGTTGAGACCGAAGCAACTTCACCTCGTTAAAGAGGATGTTAAATTGGACCTTCAGGGATTTGTACGGGGGCGAATCGTGAATCAGCTGCTCGGGCGGGTCGCTCACCTACATTGACGTGCAAGGCAAGTCAAAGAAATTGACAATGAACGGGAAATAGAAGGCTCAACGTAGCACAGTATTATAAAGCAGAACTTTCAGTCCCTTTTGCATGAATGCGCATTGCTCTAAAACCAATATCCCCAACAAAACTATAAGGGTGGTGTCTAAATAACACATTGAAAATGTACAAAAAACTCACTAAGAAACTCTTAAGGTAAAGGAAGTCAGATTGGTAGGGGTTTACCGAAAACACAATCAACTTTGACAACAAACAGGCTAGGACTTCATTGAAGCTGCAACAGCGATTCGTGGCAAAAATTGCCCTGCTAAGAGCGATACTATTAACCAGAATATCGAGTTTCGAATCCGTGTTGCCAGTAAGGGACAAACCATCATACTGCAAGGAAGTTTAAAGTTGTTGTAAGAAGAGTGCGCGCGGTGACTCGCTTGGCCCAGGAATTATTGTAAGGATGCTTAGCCATTAAGAGCAATTGGGAAGGGATGGAGAATGAGAAAATGACAATTGGAACAGACAAATGGGGTGGCATTGGAGCTATTACCTAGGTTGTGATGGGACTGTTGAAGTTAGACTACTTTTTTGGCCTCTTTGAGTCGATCGCAGATTTTTTGGATCAAACAACAAGTGAAATTACTAGGATCAGGACACCAGACGTTATACGTGGAATAATTCACTTGGCGTCAAAGAGAATACGTACGAGGTAAACCATAAAATGTGGTAAAACGCAGACATACAATCTCTTTAGGTATGCAGTAGTGAGGATGAGTTCACGTCTACAGAGATTGGGGGCCGACGACACACATTTTCCGTGTGGCTCGTAATCTTTCAAATATGATCTCATTAGAATTATGAATAGTAATTTAACCCTTCGTACACCCATGTATTTCTGTGCCTGTTGATCGTCGTCTCTAGACATCCATAATCACCACAAGCACATGCGCATGAGCTACACAAGTGAAGGCCTACTGCAGCCTTTAACACACCTCTCAATCCACGCGCAGCAAAATTGGCTAAGAAGGCACACCGAGACACATCCGTATTTGGCGCATTAGTGCAAAAGTGCAAAGTCAAGCGGAAGGCGCAGCCAACAAAAGTGCAGACGGTGTGTTGAGTGTGGAGCGCGCGATGCGTGCGCGGGTAGTCGCTAACCTGCATGGTGAGTTTCGCGCACTCCGCCACCTTCTCTTCGTGCTGGCGCTGGAGGCGTTCGAGCTCGGTGAGACGGTTGGCGGCGAGCTCGCGTTGCTCCTCCAACTCGCACAACATGTCGTTGTACTTGCTCTTTGTTACGCCGGGCACACCGCCACCACCACTGCCGCCGCCGCCGCCACCGCTGTTGCTGCCACCCGAGTCCTCGCCAGCCTCTAGAAAACGACGCTCAATTGGGGTAAAAAGGGAGGCGCATGTGTGGAGCCGGCAAAAACACCGCAAGACGCTGCTCCACGACTCTCAACCACGCAAACCAACACTGCTGCCGGTGATTGGCCTTTAAAGTCGCGTCTATTGCGTGCACTTAATATCCAGCGGCATGGAAATGAACGTTGAGCATACCGAAAACCATAGTTACCTCGAATGTAACAAAAGATTATGCAGCTCGCTTGATGCGGAAGAACCGCATTAATCGGACTGTTAGCAACGCTAACGTACCATTACTAAAACAGGCAAGTGGTTAGCAGTTGTTCTGGCGATAGTACAATAAATTACGTGGTTTGAAATGACTTTCGACATATGTTAGTGAGTGGAAGCAAAAGAGTGTCCCCGAGTAAATCACATACCATCAAACGAAGCTCAACACCAAGCAAACAAACAAGGCAACGTGCACATAAGCGATTTGATGACCTTTCCGAATTGAAAGTAGCCGTGACAAACTTCGTTGGCAGGCGAGGAAAAGAAATAATATGTCTAGATCTCATTTAAGCCATTACAATTTCTGGACATGGCAGTTTAGCTCTCAGACAAATACAAGTTTCAAGGCGAATTTGTGAGTTGGATTCGTGGCGAAACAGCGCATTGGTTTGCCAAGCGTTATGAGGCTCTTACATTGTCGGCGAATTGAACCCTCAAACAAGGAAATTAAGCCGATTGAAAATGTAGTTTCTCGAAATAACAATCATCATCATCATAGTGACAAAGTTAGGTGCATCATCAAGGTAAGGATTCTGCAACGCCAGTTTCAAGAAAGGTTTGTTGCGGATTTTTGTTAATGTACTTCTGACCAGTCAAGCATAACAACTAGCAGAAAAGCATCCTGCATTTTAAAAGCGGATGCGATCATAAGGCAACAGAATGGGCAAGCATGACTTTGAAGTCGTAGTTAGTGGGACGAGGGCATCTGAAATACACTGAAGGCACGTAACCTTGGCAGTGCTGAGCGTCATGCAACTCGCAATCATTGCAAAACAGTCTTGGACAAAATTAACCGCTTCAAGCGAAAACTGCACAAAATCAAGTTGGGATAGCGACTTATAGGCTACTGCTATCCGAAGTAGCTTTGTGCTTGGTAAAAGCAATGGAAAGAACGTCTTCTAACAACCGCTTACGCAATGTCGAAAAACTTCTGTTGGTTTAAGTAATTCAGTTACCTCCATTGCGAAACTGCATTAAGGCAGTGTAAAAATAGCACCATCAAACTTTAAAGATGAAGGAATGTAAAGCACAGACAGACCGATTAATCATATTTTTTTTTTGAATAAAGGCGATGTGCTTACGAAATCGAACAGTCAAAGAATTGGAAATGCGAAGTCGAAAAGTAACGGTCGCGCCAGAACCCAACTGGATTACACAAAAAACGAAGTCGTGGTGTTGACGCTGAATTACAGCATTTTATTTGTAGCAGGAAATGAATGCTGGTTTTACCCGGTGCCAGTGTGTGCACTCAAGAAGGCGTGACTGGCCATTTTAGGATTTGGATCGTTAGTAAAAGCCTCACGGAACTGATCCAAGAGGCAAGCGCTTAAGATTGTAATCAAAGGAAGTGCCGGGGGCGGGGTGGCGTGGCTTGACATGCCACTTCATGTCTGAAGAAGCACAACACGGACTGAGGCGTGCCAAGACGACAATAACCTCAACTAACACAAACACAGCAACAATAATGGGTGTGTATACCGAATACAACGCGTTGATTCTACGCAATAACTCCATTTCGTGACGAAACACATGATTAACCGGTTGGGCGCGGCAAACTGCAACAGTAAATTGATATGCTAGAGGGCACAGGGTATATGTATTATTTTCTACCCAGGTTTGTGAGGAAATGAATTAGCATCGGTGTGTCTGTGGGTGCGCGAGAAGACATCAATCCTTGACTACGGATAAAGCAGTTCTGTACACTAATGTGACATGCATGGGCTGGGATACGCAGCTGGAGAAAACCAAGTCTAAGGTATTAATTAAAACTTTTTTCCTGCAACCCGACAGGAATAGTTTACGCACTGAAGTCGCTATCGGCACCTAAGAAAGGAGCTCTGAAGAAGCGTAAAAAAACGCACAAGGAACATGGACTACAAGTCAAATATAGAAGGCGTCAAGCAACGAATGACAAAAATGAAAATTTAAGACACGAGAAAGGCAATAGCAAGGTATGTAGAAACACGGTTCTATCATCAAATGTTGTGCTTCTAAAAGCGCTAGAAAAGTGATGCCGACAAGTTTGTGGCTTGGCTAACCTCCAGGAGATCCGGAGGTTCCTTTGAAGGCAGACAACTCCTCTTCAAGTAGCTTCTTGGTCTGTTGGACATCGTAAAGGCGATGGTCGAGGAGGGCAAGTTGTGCGGTGGACTGCTGGAGTTTATACTCCAACTCCTCATACTTGGCTTTCCATTCATCGGCAGCGTCGGAGTTAGCCTGACAACGGTCCTGAAGTTCGCGAACCTGCGAAGGAACCAAACAGGCTTTAACTCCGGCCATCTGGAGAGGCATGGCAGTGCACCATTCCTGATTTCTAAACAGGTGCCACGCACGAAACGGTCAAAAAATTGAAATTGGAGCGACACAGCCAATGACCACTGGAGCATAGACGGGCACAAATTTATGACCATTAGCGCCATAATGTAAAAGCCCTGAAACGCGACCTGGAATCATGAGTTCGGCAGGGGTGGTTAGACTGAACAAGCCTCGGGAACTTGATTTACCCAACATCAAAAAGCATATACTAGTGTCAATGTAAAAGACAAAGAAGGCGCCGAATACCGACTCCTCTCAATATCTTAGATGCACACACAGTTCGTTCATTCGATCAGCATACGATGCAACATGGCGTAAAGAAGGTTGCCTAGCTGTTAATTAAAATGACTGACTTCTGTTTCTGCCTAAACCCTATTTACTGGCTGTGGTAGTTAAGTATCACAATAAAAATTGATTCCACTCGAGACAGCGCAGGATAAAGTGAAGATTCGGTGAGGCTAGTTTGTAACGGTGAGTAACAAATTAGCAACACGGCTGCGTGTAAACAAATAAGGCAGGGACCTACGAAGGAGCACAGCGGAATTTACGCAGGATGCACACCGGCCTTGCGTACAGTTAATACCTCAATTTCAGAGGCTAATCATTCGACTGCGTGGCCAAAGCACTGATTTTGGTAGATAGCAGTCAGTCAAGCACCGGGGAAAAGCGAATTTCACAGGTACACAGCAAGAACCAAACTCGGCTGTCGTAGGGATGCCAAAAAGTACCTTGTCAATCCACAAATTAACACTAAAAATTCGTTTCTTACTCAAGATAGCCAGAGAGGTTGAGTAGTTGGCAGCGGCCCCACAAAACAGCGCACAACACTTAGAAAATTAGGATTTAGACTAACCCAACATGCTCAAACTTGCACACCCACACCCACTCAAAATGTCAGATGATTTATGCGAAATAAGATCGAACACGGGATTAAAACGATTCCAAACTGTCACATTTAAACATCAAGCAGAAGTTACTCCAAACTTCAAACACGAGCTAACACACTAAAGACATCAAAGATGAGCTCACATTAAGACTTTGCTGCCGGTGATTGGCGTGCATTTCCGTGCAGAGGCTCTGAAGTCGGTTGTTTTCCGCACTTAGAGACGCGATCTCCTCTCGAAGCGCAGTGATCACCTTTTCGCTTGGCGATGGGGTGTGACTTCGCCCCGCAGTGCTGCCGTCGGCTGTGGTGTCAGCCTCAAGCTTGTTCTCCATCTTATTCACTCCCTCGCCTGCGTCCTGGTCTTCAGAGCGGATGGACGCTTTGGTAGATTTGGCGGAAGTCAGTGTCTTCATCACTCTCTCGGACTTCAGATCATCAACAAGGAGTGAACGAAGCCGGCTTTGATGTGCGACGAGTCTAATAACAAGAAGTTATTGGTGTGAATTCTAGCGTAACAGCGCGAGTTGTAAATCTATGTACCGAGGAGATCGAGCCTACCTTTCATAGGACGTTAGAAGCCGAGCAATAATGCGTTTTGAAAAGTGGACGCGTTGCTGCAACTTCTCAGGCACTTCTTCCTTCTCCCAGGAAGCCAATTGCTTGAGGAATGAGTCCGCCGAGTTAGACACTGGAAAATCAAAACAGAAAAAGCAGAAGAGTAGTATTAAGTCGTTGGGAAGATGAAACAAACAGAACTCAGATATTTGATAAGTGTGCAACGTAACCGGAAAATTAAATCAGCCAACGTGTGAGATGCGGCTGCACCGACCGCAGAACGAATTAAGTAGAGCATGTTCACAGGCCTCTTAATCGGTAGCAGGTTCCAAATGACTTGATGGTTAAAAGGTGTCCATTGAGTGACGTTGGAGGATTTGGGCTTTTACAATTCCCGAAGACACGAACAGCCTAATGCGAAACTCCCTCAGTATTATCAACAGTGACAAATCAGGGGCTGTGGCTGCATTAGTAAATTTGGCCATCATTGTCTGAGGTACAGTAATTCATTCATCAAGAAAGACGAACCTTTCTCATCTACGTCAACTTCGCAACGCTGAAGAAGGAGGAGACAGTCTTCGTCTAACTAGGAGAAAATAACAGGAACTGGGCCATTATTCGTAAAGAGAGGTTAGAAGGTCGACATTGCATTATTAGGACAGAAAACTTTGCTGAGAGAATACCACGACACCCAATATACGATGACTAGCAGTGAATGGTCTGGTTGCGGAACGTTCGTCACTTGGTTAGCCACAGCAAAATTTTCCTAACTCGTGCAAGACCCAACCGCAGAATTAATAAAAAAAATGGTCTAATCTACTTCGACGAAGTCACGTCGTCAAACAAGGATGATTTGTTCTTGCCAAATTTCCTTGTAAATACCAAATTACTGACCTTTGTCGAAATCAGAACTTTGTAATTGAGTAAAATGCCAGTGGCAAAAGCGAAACACAAAATTCTACCTGGTTCCAGTAGCGGTTAACAACACAGAGCAGAGCATCGTCCTTAGCCTGCCTGTTTTCTAGCTGCTCGATTCTCTGGCGCAAATCGCCAATGGCTGAACGCTTCTCCGTGAGGGCCTCATAGAGTTTTTTGTTTTGCAACTGAAGGGTGCGCTTATCCAACTCCTCGAGTGAGCGAACACGACTAAAGAGCACCAGCTCCGAGCCGGAGAGGAAAGGGCGTTTGGGTGCGGGGACGCTTGCGGCCGTTTCCCCACTTCCCCCCGAGTTTTGCTGATCCGGGTGACCTCGTTTCGACATTCAGAGTAGGCCCTGTAAAGGCGTAGAAGGTGTGAACAGTGTAGGCACGTAAAGCTAGCTTCAGTCAGCTCACGCAACACCAGACCGAAAAATTAATCCGGTGGGGTGTGTGAACGAGAGGCGTCGAAAAAAAAAACAGAGCAGTCTTCACGTGACGTTATTTTTTAGCATAAAATGTTGTCATGGCTACCCTATCTTGTGAGTCCGACCGAACCTCAAAATGATGTGTTGCTTGAGCTACTACTCATTTAACATTTCTATTAGTATAAATTCTTGGAATAGACATCCAGAAACTTGAAGACGTCGAAAAAGTAAGCGTGAAAGAATGTCAAAACGAATATCTTGTGTCATTAACTGCCAGTGGCACTAAAAAAGCATGCCTGACGTTCCTTCATGCTTACCTTGCCGCCGTATTCAGTTTTGGGAGCACATATTCCGAAAAATTGGAGATGAGTTGTAAATTGGTACCGGAGCGAACTGCATAAGAATCAAAAAAACCAAGCTTCGTCAATTCCTCCACCATGATTGACGCATAAACGCGTCGCCGTGGAACAAATTTCTTAATAACTCAAGTCTCCATGGATGATCACCTCAACCTAGAACCTAGTGCCACAAAACCCTACGACCCTCCAGCGACGCAAAATCCATAAAACCAATATCAGGACTGATGCAATTTAAATTTTGAGATTATTCACGACCCTCAAGAGCTGATTTTGTGTCGCTACTCGATACGGTAAGGCGCCACCGAAATTTGTTTACTTGAACGCACAGGAAAGAACGGTTGAAAGTTTAATGGCCTGAAAATTGTGGATTAACGCTACTCTATCCACAAACTACAACCAATGTTTTCACCTACAATTTTACCGAGCCTTTTCGACACCACAAAATGCACCCGAATAACAATGTCTAAAGATCCGGACATACGATTGCAATTATCTTGAGAAATGACAGCAAATCGACACAACAATTAAGGTTGGCATGAAAACGCAAGCATTGGACTAGAATGGGAACGATATCGGACCATCTACAGCACAAATCTCGCAGCGTTTAAAACCCAAGAAAAGAACTCGAGTTTAATGACGGACATGAGGAATCAGCTATCAAGTTCACTTAGGCCAACATAGCGAAAAGGCAGTAGTAAAAGTTGCTAATGTAGTTTTGAGCATATGCTAAGAGACATGAGCAAACCAATCTTACATCGACCCTATCTCGCAATTTAACGCCACAACGGGTTTAAGACGTGTACGCGAAATTTCAATCGATGTGTCGCAGGAATTTTTTTAGTTCTACAGACTTGGTAAATTTGCCAACAGTGAATTCACCTACTGGCATCCAAATTATCGATGCTTTTCTGAGAATACCTTCTAGGGACATTGCAGCACGTCAAATAAGACGCACACCCCACAATTACCTCGTGGATAAAACTGTCAGACTCGCGAGTAGTGCAATCACAACCAGGCAAACATGCATGCAGACGGAATAAAGAGACGAAGTCACTAAGCATATGCAATATTGTCCAATGGGGGAAAGTAGCAAGGATTTTGTTCATCGTACAGAGCAACGTAGTGGTATTGTAACCAGTCGATGTTTAAAAAAATTTGCAGAGCACCGTGGCTGGTCAGTGGAAGAAGCGGAGAGAGGAGAACCGACCATAACCATGGAAATCGTAGTACCTACACAACTGGAAGTCAAGCATTGTGCGAAGGAGGGGGTAATACACAAATGACTGTTCGGAAGCCTTGAGGATAATTGTACACGCTGGCGTCCACGAATGTGAAAGAACACGCAGCCTGAGTGGGACGCAGCTCTAAAATGCGCTACGGGGGTGACAGCAGAGCGAGAGAGAGAGGGGGGGCTGACCCACAATTGCTGCTGGGACGAGCGGCAGTGTACACAGAATGTCTGTTAATCATTGACTGCATCATAATTAGTGTTGAATCACAATGTGTCTTGGGAGAATAGCACGTGAACTTGCAGTCACGTTTGCGATTAGTTGTTAACGTAGTCTACACACTGGTAAGATGATAAATACGGAGGGTTTTGGGTCTTCAAACACAGGCGCATTGATTTCTACAGTGATAGCAAGGTAGAATCAATTAGCGCGGTACTAAAATTTAAAAATAGAGGGGGAGGGGAAAGGACAGAGCTGGGTGAGCGTATTTTTACATTCAATGACGGTGGTACGTGGAAGCTGCAAATGGTGGATGAGGGATGGGTTGCCGAGGGGTGGGGGGATTCCTTGGTCTAGACGACGCAAAGAAGTCTCGTGAGAGCCTATTTTGCGGGACGGGGAAGGGTTGGGTGGGGAAAGCGGAGGTAGGAGATACGACCTGATCACCATGACCCGAACCAAGTTCCATATCCTCAAAATCCTCGGCGAAAACGAAGGGTTGACCAGGACCACCACTGCTGCCTTGAAGGGCATAATTTGGACCCATTCCACTGCCGAAGTGGGGAGCGGGAACGCCGTGGATAGTGGGGACTGGCATCGCTGAATTGCCGGTATATGCGGGGGAACTATATTGAGAAGTACAGAACAGCATAACGCATGGACCCAATTAAACAGCCTTTATTTCGGACAAATAAACTCAACATTAGCGTCCTCTGGTAACTACAACATTGGTAAAAAAGAAGCAAAGAGAAGAATAAGGGATATTTTCACTTGTTTAACCTTAGAGCCCTTGAACAAGTACTCCGGGAACAACTGAGGCAAAACTATGAACTAGTAGCATACAGATCTAGGGAAGTTTACGGACTTTACGACGATTCAAAAACTGTTGAATCGATTCAGAATAACTTAACAGACATTGAAACCTACCTGCCACTAGAAACTCCGGATCGCCTACGTCTCCGGATGTTTGAGGAGCCATCAAATGCCCAGGGATCCCGAACCATTGATATGTGGACCTTTGGATCGACGTACGTGAAGCCGTCGAAGACGTCGCATTCAGAGGCCGAGATTGGAACTCCGTCATCGGGCGACTCAACTGGGTTCTCGTTGGTGAACTGCGGATCGAAACGCGATACATCCGTCTCCGACGTAAGACTCGGCTTGAAAGGCGGTTCTAGTTGGCGCGCGTACACCTGGTCCCAGTTGACCGCTTGGAAGAAAGGATGCCGCTTAATCTCTTCAGCGTCCGTGGGCCCCGAGCCCAGCCTTTCACTCACCGACTTTTTCAATAGCTAAAACCACAAGTGATTACTGTGAGGCGAAACTCGAGGTCTGAAACGATGGGAATGTGGGGGATGAAGTTACGTTGGACAACTTGATCAAGTGCAATAAGCCCTAGTTGACATTACGTCAACATCACTCCGCCGTACTTCGCGACGCAGTTTTTAATCCCTGCTCTTAAGTGGAGAAAAACAGACTCCCCGAAAACCTACAAGCAGACGGATATTGACGCGATAATTAGAGGTAATGTAAGCAACATGTGAGATACGAAATTGACATATTTGGTTACTAAACTGTGTGAAGTAACGTGACTCTGGGTGTGATCAACGCGGTCATTGCTCGAAGACTGTGATAGCCTTGGGCGTAATACCTGTCAGTTTTAAGACCGCAAAAACGAGAAAAATACATCAATGTTTGTGAATAAAAAGTAGGGGTGACACCATTATCTACCTGACAGAATTTTGGTTGAGTGGTAAAAACAGCTTGCCAACAAAGGTAGATACGTGACGTGATTATGGAATAGACGGGTGAGAAGCGCTTCGACGGTTTCAAACGCAGCTGTCAACTTATGAATGATTATCATACCCAAATCATTTTCGCTCTAAAGATAAATGCCTACCGGCATCAGAACAAAGGCGGATGGAAACGCACGAGTCATCATTGCAAAATATAAAAAACCGTTGATTAGTGAAATAGATGAAACGAAACGAAATATATGAACCGCATTGGGAACAATTGACACAGATTAAAACCCAATAAGCAGAACGGAAACAGAGAATAGCAATGGGCAAGGAGAGTGTCAAAAAAGGCAGTTGTACGAATTACGAATGCAGATCGATTTATTGGTTTGAGTTTGCGGTTGATGAATTTGGTTACCAAAGGAGGTATATACTGGATCAAGATTAATAAGTAGTAACGTTTTACCTGAGTCAGGTAGGGCTCCCAAGATAAAACTGCGATGGAAGGACGCATAAATTACACACACTCTACACTTGTTCTCCAAATTAAGTGGACAATTGTTAGACGACCAAGGTTCTCCAGTAAACTTACGCCTTTGAGAAGATCTTTGGCTTCCCTAGTGAGGTACGGAGCGAGGGTAAACCTGCCACGAAGAACCTAAATTGACGAACAAAATATGAGGCACCATGCGTCGGATACCCAGGTCCCCTATTTGCAACAGATGGAAGACTCACCGACTCCATGGTCTTTTTTCTATCCTCACCAGAAAACGGAGGCTGAAATGAAAGTATTTGTGAATTGGTTTTGTCCGGCTGAAACATCGATTTCTGATTTCGCACAAATTACAACTGAAATCCATATATGCAGAAACATGGCACTACTTGCTTAGCCGGTCGTGAAAACGTAATCAAATGGTTTTGGTAAAATGACAACTCTACTGCCGTCAGGTAATGTCGCATCAATATTGCAAATGATGACCTGTATATTGAATGTTTGCCATTTAACTAGTTAAAATTTATTCGATTCATTTATAATTTTTAGTTCTGGGGGTCTGGCTGCGTCTAACACATACCGCATTTAATACCATGAACCGATTACTTTGTTAAATGTGCCGATAAAGCCATACCGCACAGGTTAATCCCCCAAAACAATGTCAAAAGTTGACACGTGGTATTTAAAGGGGTCACAGGAGCAAATATGAGCGGATTACAAGCCACCGAGGTGTCGACGTGGTGTCGGAACGTGCCACACGCGTGTCGAAACACACGAGCACACGTGACCGAAATGTGAAATATGTCGAATTGTGTTTTTTTTTTAAATTAAGCTTGTGCAGAAGGCTAGGCTTTTGGAAATAGGTTAGCTACGAGCGTCATTTCTAACTGCTTGAATACAATAAATTTGGTAAAACCAAAAGGAGGCAACGTTAAAAAATGATGCAATACATCGCCTTAGGCGATGTACTATCCAAACACCCGCCTTTTACTGTAGTTGGCAGTTGCTTTGGCTCAGGTGACTGACTAGTAACTTACCGAGGCATAAATTTCACTCCGGATGCATGCCTTCGTGAGGAAAGAGCATGCCTTAAGCGTGCACTTTAGTCTGGCACCTAACACTTGTGCAAATTGTCCAGTTACACGCCAACACTTCGCAATTAATCACAATTCGGACCAAAATGTGAACACACCGCATTCTAGTACGCAGGCCAACACATGAGTCAGGCACCGTCAAAAGGAGATGCGTAAAGAACGAGGAGAATAAATAAACGAAGCCACACACCACCATACACACGAAGGCATGGCACGGACTACCATAAACAGCAGTTAACACATGCGTAGCCATATTATAAGTTCGCACCGCGTGAATACGTGCGTGATCTTTTCATGACCTTGTGGCCCCCACCACCGCGAAAGCGGATTCACGACCGAAACTTCACAACCCATGAGAAAGGCACACTGCTAAGGAACGAAAACGCATTCTTCTAGACATTCTAGGGTGTCATCTCAAAGCGGCAACAAAGACGCGTGAACAGCCTGGGATAGCAGGAGGGCGTCGTCGTTTGGCAACTCATGAGTTAGTGGGACCACGAACTTTGCGTAGCGAACCCGCTGTCTAGTTCTAGAGCTAGATTTTCGAGTGAATGTTCTTGTCTTGGATGATGGCCGTTAGATAATTAAAAATATAACTCCTCCAAAAAACGCTAGAGACACTGTAGGAAATTGAGAAAATAGAATTACAAGTTGCCATACTGATTTGAACAATTTTAATGAAATATTTGGAGGATAGCAACGATGCATCACACACACACATGGAACCGATATCTACAGAAGACTGTGGTGACATGGATCAGTGTTGAAACATGTAGTCTTAGTCCTACTCGAATGCATACTAAATCGTAGTCATCGACAGACATTCCCAGAAGGCTCCAATAACACGGCCCAGTTCAGCCTGAGGTGCATCCTCAAAGTGCCAAGTTCTGACTAGTTGAAAGCTGATTTGAAGGTAGGAAAATGTGAAGGCCATCGACTTACGAATACCTACAGGACTAGACCTATTAAACTCATGAAGGCAGGTAGTTGAATGGCAATTAAAACTGGATGCATAACAACAACTATACGTAGAGTTTAAAATCGGTAGATATGTTTGGCAAGAAAACTTTGACGGTACAGTTCCCACAAAGTACACGCAATGTCATAAGTGCACCAAAAGCATAGACAAATTAAAGTGAGACTAACCCCTCCTGAGAGCATGTCATACATGAGCGTTCCTAGGCTCCACCAGTCTACTGCCTTGCCGTGGCCTTGTCGAAGTAGGATTTCAGGAGCCCTAAGAGATAGACGCAGACCATAATAAAATCAAAGACAACAGGCGAGCATGTAAGTCCAACCAACACAATACTGTGAGATGCAAAAGTGAGCGTTCCCTCCGCTCAGCACACTCTTCGGGTCCCAATATGCGGAAAGTATCTTTTAACTGCACCAGTGCTTGCTTTAGATTCGCTAAGAGTTAATAAAGATGGTTTGTAACTGAATCATATACATACAGGTGCTAAAACACGTTGAATTGTAAAAAAGAGAAGCATTTTCAACGCATCCGAATATTTTGCATTCTGTATGTCTGCACGGAATTTGCGTGAGAATATACTTACATGTATTCAATTGTACCACAAAATGTGTGAGTAAGGTCCCTGTCCACTCGCTCCTTTGAAAGGCCAAAATCAGTTAGTTTGACGTGCCCCTCCGTATCAAGAAGAATGTTTTCCGGCTTCAGATCTCTGTATACTATCCCCATTTTGTGAAGATGTCCGATCGCCAAGATAATTTCCGACAAGTAAAAGCTGAAAAGAAAATTTACGATTTAAAAACATTTGCAACCTCAAAGGCAACAAATACGCATATACCAATTTTCTTACATTGCTTGATCTTCCATGAATACACCTTCTTTTTCTAACTGTGTAAAAAGTTCCCCACCAGCCAGAAATTCTAGAACAAGATATAATTTACCCGGCGTTTGGAAGGCATAATGCAGCTGCACTAAAAACGGGTGCTAAAAGATGTGTGAGCCTGTAGACTGGAACCAACCTTGATCATTTCCAAAATGTTCCTTTCGGTCTTAGTATGCGCTGTGTCTTTTGCACTTCTCACAATAGAGGCTTTCTTTAGAACCTTCATAGCGAAGATCTGCCCCGTATCGACACCTGTGTTTTTTCGAGCAAGAAAAACCTGCAGAGCTAGAGCATAAATTCAAATTACCTTTCCGTAGCCACCTTTTCCGAGAACTTTAAGTAGATTAAAGTCCTGGGGGCGGACTTTCGGCTGACCGGGATTTACGGTGTCCTCACATATTTCAACTCGCTCAACATCATCGTTCATTCTAAAAGAGAGTTTTGGAACGTCTGGATTTTATATCCTCGAATGCCAGAAGAACTAAATGATCATAATATAGGTTATGTATGGGCGACGTGGTGGAGTTTTCAATCCAAGAAGCTGGATAAAGACGATTAAAAAGCACAACCACGGACGTTAAACTGAAAACCAAGGGACAGTGGCTAAATTTTTGGAGGGAGTCAAACATATGTTTGATAGTTAAATAATTATGCTAAAAGACATATATATTGCATTATGCGTGAATTTCAGTAATAAGTCTAGCACAGACGACTACAAAAAGATTAGCAAGAAAGACATTAGTACAATAAAACACAGCAACCAACAACAGCATAAAAATGGCTCAGAGAAACTCTTCTCGAGCTAAATGAGAAAACAAACAACTTACTCTTCCACTGACAGAGGGCCTCTGGAAAGGAACTCCTGTAAAGTCGAAAATAAAGAAAAAAATCTGAACAACCTCTGTTCCGCCTGACACGCAATGCGAATCTTCAGAGTCACTTTTGGAATCGTCCATATTAGGGACATCAGGCATATCAATATGGAAAACACCGCCGGTGTTCATCCTCACACAGAAACAGACAAGAAGCTCGTCGAATTAAGATAGCCGAGCAAGGAACGATAAACTTAAACAAACAACTTGTTTCTAGGTTTGTTAGTGACGCCTCTTAAAAGTCGTTCCAAATTGCGTTTTTGATAATTATTGTGGTAATACCAATTTATTTTAATTAAAATGAAATAGTAACATTAGGACAGGATATTAGCATGCATATCAAATCAGACCGTCGATTGCTTAAGAAAGACCACTTATTCTTATTATGGCTGATAGTTGTTTTTTAGTTTCGCGCAATATGTGTAGCTTATAGAGCTAGATACATAAAAAATGGAATCTAAGGCCAAGATTTGAGGTGAATGCATTCAAAAGACTACTACAATATAAAATTTAAGTTTATTTAGTTCCAAACAATTAGTGTGTAAATTGTTTATGCTGCATTGAAATGTTTTCAACAATCAGATTACAGCCAAAATAAAGGCTTTATGTTTATGTATAGCAACTTGCCAGTTGTCAAGAGCGAATAGTAATCCTACCGTCATTTGTGACTTAATAAGTATAATCGAATTCGAAAAAATCTGCACAGTTGCAAAAAGGTATTTAGAAACCGGTTTACAACCAGTCCAACAAAGTTCAAAGTATACGCAGGCTCAGATTGCATGCGTTTTTCCCATTATTAAGTGGCTATTCAAGCACGGATACTTCGATGATGGTTTGAGTTTAAGGGTAATACAATATGGCCGCGTATTATACCATAAATTCACTTATCCCCTCCATAACAAAACCTTTAGATTTAACATTCGTCGCACCGAATATGTACGAACAATACAAAACGTACCCCATCCCTCTTCAATTTCTGTAATGAGTCAAATGAACTCCTGGAGACTGGAGTTTCCCACCCACGTCTTTTCAGCTGCAGTTTGCCAAAGCTCTCCATTCGAAGTTCCCCACCATTGGATCCACATGTACCTTGGATTGAGACTGATGCACTTGTTGGGGCATTAGCACTGACTTTAAGAGCCGGTTAGACAGTCTATGGAGAAGGCAAATGCGATTGACGATCCCACCCCCCTGCGAGTCATCAAGTACAATATCTCATCGTTAGCAATGTGCTTTAACTACTCGCCTGCTAGAAGCAGGGTATTGGAAAATGTCGAATCGGAAAGTTTTAAATTCATCGTGACATCGCTGGCGACAAAGCCAGAAGCTAAGGACAGATTCCCTTCTGAAACTGAGGCAGTCTAGTTGCGATGAATTTCCATTTTAGTACTCGGGTGTACACTGACCTTTAAACAATGATCATAGTTTGTGTTTTCGCACTGAGTACTTATTGCTCGTAAGATTTTAACTGGAATATAATTGATATTCCATTGATAATTTTTTTCTTAAATGGAAAAAAAGAGAACAAAACAGTCCAACCTTGATTTATTTAAGCACTGTCCTAAAAAGCCAAGCAACAAATTCGCGTGACCCACACATTTTAATCAATGTTTTAGCATAATCACGTGATCCTTTACAGTACACAGTACACAGGTAAACCCACAACAAAATTCATTGTTCAGGACATGTGGCGAGAGTTGAAATAAATTAGTGAAAATTCTAACTTTTAGATAACCCTAGGTTACGAAGATAATAGGCGTAAAATTTTCGATTCTGTTATCATGTTTGAGCAATTTCAAGCTAACATTAACACTTGCAATCAAACGGCCGTTCGGGTAAACGGTTCATTTTCTCATCGGATATGCCAAAAAACATTTAGTATTGTAGTAGTTAATAACGGAAACAGGATACAAGTATGCATTCCTAATCACTCGAAACTGCAAAATAAAGTTTAAGATAGCAGCGTGACAAATTCGATCTTCATTTACTGAATAGAATGCATTAAAAGACACCTAACCGATGCTTTAATGCTCTACTTCGAATTCTATGCTCAGTAAAATAAAGAAATGCTAGAGTGACATAAAGCTTATCAGGCTTCCCAGCCGCTAATCCTTGAATTAAGTCTTCTCGCATAGGCGCTGGAAATCGGCTAAAATCTTTACTTCTAAACGCATCATCGGTAAAGCATCTTTCGCGATCAGAGTGTCCGCTCCTTATTTATTTGTTCCACCACACATCAAAGCTAAATCTTTATGGCTCTGAAGTTTGGTCTGTTAACAGGGCATTAGTGCCTTGATCTAGGTTTTGCGGCTACTTCCACTGTTTTTACTTCATTCCACTCAACTTCACTTCCACCAACTCTCCGAGACTTAGCGCCCAACAGACGTATCTGTTGGAGACCCCGGCACGTGGACTTGAGCCACGCTGAGGCCGCAGTTTTGAAGAGGTCTGGTTACGCTACTTAGATACCCGAGAAGGCAAGTAGAAGACCAGAGGTGATAGAGAAGTGACCGTTTACTAGATGGCAAAGCCTGTTTGTGTATGTCACGTTACTGCATATAAAAAGTCGTGTCTGACTACTGAGGCTGTTGTCCAATGCAGTCTTGATGAATGAAATAGGTGGCACAAGGGAGGTACACATATAGTGGCGTATGCGCAGACGGCGTAGCAGGATCGATGGGGATGCTATGAAAAGAATGTCGGTTTGAAGGAGACCGCGATAACTGGATTGATGGACGTGAATCAGCCCGATTGACTACGTATTGTTGATATTTCTTGATTGGTGGCACTAAGGAAAGGAGATTAAATGATTATTGCCAGGACCTAAGTGCTTGCTGGTTTGGGGACGGTCGATTCCATGTTTTTAAATTTATTTTATCTCGGACACCTTTGTGGTTGTCCCCAAAACCTTTAAATTTCTTGCTCAGATGGATATCCATGCGGCTGGGAAATTTGACCCTTACAAATGATATTACAAATTAGGATGCCCTTGTATTATACCGCAAAAATAAATGCATCGAGTAAAAATGCACATGAAGCTACAACCATGTTAGTAGACGTAACGTACCGCATCGATCTGTAAGTAGCACTGCTCATGGAGTGAAGCCAGCCAAAGTGCTGTTCAGATAGTGCGCCAAACGACAGCGACAACTAGGGGAATCTCTGTAAAAAATTAATGTGACAGTCTGTCTACGCATAATTAGTTACCTGACTTACTTTAGTTGCGATTATTTGAAACAGGTTTTATAAGCACACCTCTAACTGCCTGCTAGTATTTTGCCTTGCATTAAAGGGCAACCAAACGACACTGCTAGGCAAAGCGAATTTTATTTTGCTTTCTGAAGCAATAAGCAGTTATTTCACTAATTTTCTAAACTAGCCGTAGGTCCTGAGTTTTTGGGTTCTACCTGATCAATGTTGATCAATGTCTGAATCCTTGTGTAAAAATTCATATCGATCGATTGCGGTTTCTGAAAGTAACCGTAACTACACCTGAGTAGCATAGCAACCGAAATTCCAATTTCAGGAGCATTATCTTTTTTTATTTAGTGAAAAATAGAAAAAAACAACTGTTGTCAAGACAGAACATAATCTTCCTAAAACGTATCTACAATGTGTTAGGCGCTGTTAGAAGACTACGATGATGCACTGAAGACACAAAATCGATGATATCGATTTTTTTGGCTGACACGAGTAGCGACGTTTTTTGACAAATCTTTGTAGTTTTGTAGAGCCCTTGCCTATTTTAGCCCTAATTTCTAAAGAATCTGTTGATGCAATCGGGAGAACGCAAAAATGATTGCTTCATCACTGAGTCCTCATAATTACCCATCACAGATTAGGACGAATTCAGTACGAATTACCGAAAGTCGGTCCATCAAAACAGCAAACACAAGGAATTTTACCTATACTATGTTTCTGGTTCTGCAAAGTAATCAGAGTGCAAACGAGTAAAAAGGACGTCATAATTTCACTTCCAATCGTCAACGAGCTGTCGCCTCACACTGAAAATGCTCTGATGTCATAATGACTACGGCCCTACCTAAGGTGGGTCAATAGAATAACCACTCGGCGACATTGTATAACTTGCTTCAGATAAAATGATTTTATTACTCATAAAAGCTGTTAAAATGTCTAGATCAATTGTGGCTAAAGCTTGGGGAATTGTTTACGCCAAACTGACCTTGAAGACAATGTTCTCGTGCTTTTCTGATATTTAAACAGAGGCATGTGAGTGAACGCAGTTATAACTGTGTAAGTAACGAGCATGGGCCATGAGATTTTCATTTGACTATATCGAAAATCAGTCCAGTCTGTCAGAAACAAAGCCGACAACACCGGTGAACCTTAAGTTTGCATCAAAATGACAACGGGGTGTCACCTTAGAATGAAAATTCTGCGATATCACAATGCTTGTAGACCCTTAACCATGATGGTTCTTTAAAAATACTAGTCTGAGTTTATTCGTACAACATGGCATTGAAAACTATTAAATGTTTTCTCCAAACTGAATTTTAGACCAGTGGTCGAATAAATTATCGTACTTTATTACTTAAGTAGGAAATGTAGCTATTCAAGACTGCAACGGCTCAATCTTGAACACTACCACACTTTACTCAGGGGGGATGCCCGAGTACTTTACTTAAACTTCAATCACTACATTGCTCCGATGTGGGCTCGGGTCTGAATCTGCAACCCCACCACCGTTACACAGTGAAAGGAGACAGACGTGAATTAGACTACACCAAAACCGTTCTTAGATTTGAAAGTTTAACTTCCGCCCCCAAGAAACAAGCGTGATAACAGGTACTATGTGCCTTCAGTGTTCATCGAGTTTAGAATACGCTCGCTTGCGACCCAACTACCTGTGATCTACCGTCACAACTCCAGCAGAACTTGATGCAAGACACTAGAAGATACAAATTCGCTCATTTTAAATTGGACCGTCCCACGAGTCTGGAGGTGCACTGCGGTCAAGGATGGCTCTAACTTGTTGAGACACTAAGTAACTGAACAATTACGTTGCAACCACCGGTTTCATAGTGGATTAGCAGTCAGAGAACAACTCAGAGGACGGTTTACTGCGGATAAAAGGTTCTGGGGTAAATGCAGAGTATCAGTGAATTCTCTGTGCAGATATTGTAGAAAGACTGTGGAAGAGGCAGCAGTGAAATCGACAGATTTTTTAAGGAGAGGGTGATGACGTGGTAGTGTTGGTCGCGTGAACGCCAGGAGCACTGATGGCAGTTGGGAGGTTGGCGGTGTGCGCGCGAGTCTTCCGCTGGCACACATGCTGACCGTAGCCAGGCCGGTCGTCGAAGTCGAGGACGATCAGTTGGGTGGGCTGTTCCGACCCGAAGCGCGTCCCCGCCGCACAGACCAGACGCCGCGACGAGGAGGTGACGGCGACGCGCCACACAACCGCGCCGGGGGCCTTCAGGCTAACAAGGTCCCTGACAAACGCACCGGTCTCACGGTCCCACAGCTTCACGGTGCCGTCGTCGCTGGAGGAGACGATGAACTTCTTCGTGAGCTGCACGCACGTCACCGCCGACTGGTGCTTGTTGGGACCTAGAACACGCGAATGTGAATTTAGGGCCGGGTGTTAGCCAACACACACATATACTCTCATCCGAAGGCAAATCCGAGTTTATCAGTGACGTGAAGACAAAAGCGTACCAGCAAGGACGTGGACACACTCCCCGGAGGTGATATCCCACACACGGATGGTTTCATCGGCATTGCTCGAGATAAGACGCATCCTGGCCGAGTCGAGGACCATCTCGCTGGTCAGGGACTGATGCCCGAAGCACGTGTGCTCGAGTCGCTGTGTGGCGAGATTCCACACGCGGATGGTGGTGTCCAAACTGCCCGAGATGACCCGCAGCCCGTCGAAGAGGAGGGTGTACACCCGGTCGGTGTGGTGCGAGAGGACGTGCAAACAGCAGCCCGAGAGAGCGCTCCAGACTCGCACTGTGCAGTCGTAACTCCCTGAGACAATGTAGGAATCGCGGAAGCACACGCAACGAACGGCGCCTAGGTGGCCTGGAAATGATAGATGGAGAACAGTTTTACGTACGCCAATGGCTATAACTTTTTTTGGATTGCACAAAGTGACGGGACATCGACACTGCATTATCCATCTAGCAGTGGCGCATGCGGCCACCCCTGACACCCACGGACGAAGATGAGTTCCCCTGTGGATAAATAATGTACCAAGGCATTCACGTATAGCAGTCAATAAACGAAAATTAACGTGGAGTGAGGCGTGTTGATTCACGTCTATCAACTCTGTCGTCGCACACACCGACACCCCGCCGCCCTTTTCGCAACGTCTCCATCAGCTAGACGAAACCGTCTGTTCAACCAGCCCTGTGCATGAACCGCCCTTGGCAATTCAGGCGGTTGAATTTTTACATTATTACTCATGCACGACTTTGAATACGCGCACACGACAGCACGGGTTGATTGAGACATTTAATAAGCAGTTGTCTCGCACTCTTACTCCGTCTCCTTACAGCCGTGGGTATTTCAAGCTACACTTTACCGCAACAAACACACGCACAATACAAAATTCACCCAATGACAGCAAACCACACACAGCACAAGACTAGTGCTCTTGTTGTGAATCGTCTTTATTCACACCCCTTAATCCGGTCGCTCCACTTCCGACACAGGATTCCCCTTTTTCGTAGCATGGTGTCGGCCGCGCGAAGCCTCAACTACCCCTTCATTTACACGAATATCTATCTTGGATTATCCTCACACCTAGGTCTCGATGTTAGCGCATGTATAACTCACACATCCGAGGTATAAATACACACGCGCAAACCCTACACAACGACACCAACGTGGTTGAGCTCTGAAGTAAACGGTTGTGTACACGTCCTCACCTATCTTTTTGTTCATCGCAGACATCAGGGTAACGTGATCGGGCTAGGGTTAATTCTGTGGCCCCAGCGTGGTTCAAGACCGCATGCTGGGGCCCACAACACTCTCATTCATTTCCTCCAACTTGCGTCCAACGCTTTAGGGGGTTTTAGAATTCACTCTAAGTGCAAACTGCCAAGTGACTCTTCGAGGAAAGTCGTAGGGTGCTTTTTAACTTCTTCCAGAGGATGCAAATCTGAAGGAGCAAGAGCACCTCAATGTGTTCCGACATGAGGCCTTGCGTTGTCATGCTGACATGGGACGCCTTTTTGGTTGGCCAAATTTGCGTGTTTTGTGCGGATTGCAAGATTGCGTTGCTTACAGAGCTTCTCCACAACTACTGTTTCACCACGTGGAACAAATTCGCATAAATTAGCCCTCCACAATCCACATCACACACCCCTAGCATTTGTCATAGATTCTGATCTTCCACATCCACAATTCCCGCCTTCTAGACACACACAAACCAGTTTTCAGATCAGAGGCGAAACTAATTCGGAAACACGATTCAGCTTGCACCGTTCTGTGAGTTATCGAGTTTCGAGGGGCACTCAAGTACCTTTAAATGACGAATGAATTCGAATCGTCAAAACTTAGTCACTCAGCAATCGTTTCAGTGGCTATTCGTGATTTTTTTTAATGATTGAACGCCGCCCAGAACTAACATTGAAGTAATCAAGGCACTTGTTGACTTTTCTAGAAACAAGAGCGTAGATGCGGCTAAATGTCAGTTCTAGCACTAACATGACAGGACGAAATGGGGCAACGTCCGTTTTCCATGTCGAAAATTAACCCTGAGCACAGATTCATTCGATTAACATTTTTAAGGTAAAACTGCCTCCTGACGCGTTTAGATAGCCGTCAGTTAGTGGGTTGATCAAAAGGGGAACGCCGTGCCAGTCTAAGTTGCAGGCTTCTGTCACGAGTAGACATAAATGAAGAGTGAGCCCTAACAGGCTGGGTGAGTGGGTGTTGTAACAACTCGAGGCAACGTGACAATCGCCATACAAGGGAGAGACGGACCAACACCGCAAATGAAACAAGTCCTTCGCGATGGAGAAAAAATGCCACATTTGGGGAATGCCAACAGGAAATAGGTGTGGTGCACCCCATTCCCCCCCATCGTGTTAACATTAATCAAAGCGCAATCCGGAAAGGGCTGATTGAAGCATACGTGGCTTTTTGATTTAAAATAAGCGAATCAAATCACTTCTGACTTGAGACGACACGTAAACAGTAAGGCTGTTAATTGAAAACAGGGCGGACGACACCCCGCCCGCATGCACCAAAGAGATCAACAGCCTGCAAATAACGGGGTGAGGGTCCTACGGTACATTCTAAGTCGCAAAACCGACAAAATGCATTCGATAGAAGGTAGTAAGGGGTACTGATATGCGTTATGCGAGCGACTAAGTTGATTCGAAAGTCACAGTAGACTGATGCAGGCCTCAATAGAACGGAAACACTAGACTATCCAAATGGCAAGAGGATGCACAAGAGGGAAGTTGTAGGGCCACAGAAAACGCGGGCTAGAACTAACCTTGTAGGGTGAGGAGGCATTCACCAGAACGAATGTTCCATAATCTGAGTGTGGTATCCCGACTCCCGCTGACAATGAGGTCCTCACTGTCAGACAAAGACGCAGCTAGGCAGCGGACGGTGGAGAGGTGGCCGAATAGGGTCATCGCACAGGGCCAGTGGAGCCCGTCCAGACGCCAGACACGCAGTGTCCGGTCTGTCGACCCGGAGACCAGCAGGGGCGTCTCGCGCTGGGGCATGACGATCATGGCCCAGACACCGCCGATGTGGCCTGAGAGGCGAGCCAGACGCGAACCGGTCATGAGGTCCCAGACGCAAATGCTCGAGTCGTCTGAAGCACTGATTGCCCAGTCCTGGTACACGTTGAGACACGTAATGACGTGAGTCATGAGGGTCTAACAGAAAAGCAAAATAACTCGTTGCATCTCGTCACAAGCAAAACACACCTACGACAGGATATGAAGCCTTAACGGAAGGCGAGGCATTGCTGAAAAACGACCCATTTGGCTATATGTAGGCCGAAGGAGGGGCTTGGTGGAAGTATGAAAAGCTACGCCACTACAAAGAAGGCTTGAAAGAAAAACGGTGATTTAGCTTTAAGGCAAATTTATTCACGATAATGTGTCCAGGGATTTTTGTCAGCAAAAGCGAACGGTTGGGGCAGGAGACAGGGAATCACCGTAAAAATATTGGAAACCTGTTAAAACTTGTTAGAACCAAGGAATCAGACCCCTAGATCAACACGAAATTACGCCAATTTCTTTTACTACGGGGCTGGACATACTAGGCATGTAAGTTGAGAAATGAGTGAAAGCAGCATCTAGTATACTCATGTAAAAAGCGTGAGTACGGCAAAGCAGGCCTACTTGGTGACCAGGAAGGTGCTTTGGTGGATTCAACGACCCGTGGCGCCAGTTGCATTCGAGGTGAATCTCCCGCATGAAGGCTTCCTTCCAGCCGCAGATGTAAATGTTACGTGACCCGGGGGGTGACACCTAAAAATTAAAAAAAAAGGAAAGAGTAAGATCCCTGCAAACAGGCTGCTGACGCCGCATGCGAGCACAGACCTCGCTGTGGTTTGTGGAAAATTCCAGTCGAGGGGAGAGATGGTGCATTTCCTTGGGGAAACATCTGGGTATGTTCAACTGTTGGCATATGTGTTTCCACAGGAGAGGATCCTCGCTGACAGCGTGCCACACTCGCGACACCTACATTAAAGAGAGGGAAATTTGTGCACTATAAACACTACGTTTATAACTAAGACGTTGATAAGATGGCACTCACATCAAAAGACTGTCAAGCATAGGTTTAGCCGTTGTCGCAAATTGGACTAACCAATGTAAAACTAGGCAGGCAGGTACAAACAACATGGACATCATGACAGTTTTTTGAAGTAAAGGACTGCAATCTGTTGCTATTGGGGTTAATTCTAATACAGAGTCAAGTGAAGCCACAGAAGATCAGGCAAAGGGTGGCAGGCCAAAAAAGCAGCATCTTTACAAAGGCGACTTTGACTTCTAGTTGATTCAAAAATCTACTATTTACTTAAGTAGTAATTACAGATCGAAATACATTCGAGGAGCTGAGCCTTTTTCTTAGTTTGTGAAGACAGAGTCCTCCTCCCAACACAGGCGAATATGCAAAAACTCAAAATTTTTCCAGGCACATATCAAGGAAGGAGGTAGATGCTAAACCAAACCACTGATACGTGGAGTAAAATATTCAGTGATGCTAGCTCAAATAAGTCAGGTGAAAGGAGTCTACACAACGTCAAGTGTTTCATACAATGGCAAAGCATTTTTAAAAAAAATAATCGTAGGTTCGGAACGCACATAGGTGCTTCAATCGAAGCGTTATGCAAATAATACCAAAAGGGAAAACTAACGGAGTCCATTATCTCTGACCTGAAATGGGCTAGGTCTTTGCAAGGAATTAATTTTAATAAAATGACAACTAACACTGTAGGCTACCGGATGTACAAACGCGTTTTTAGCATTAACTGGGCTATAGCGGTTGCATCACACGATGTTTCGGGAAACGGGTAAGTCGTTGGGAGATAGAGAGGGTCTATTAATAATGGGCGTGGGTCGTTGTTCCTGATGCCTAGTCGGCGACACACAGGCGCACACACACACACACACGTACAATACGAGTGAGGGGTGGGGCCTCACGGTGGCTACTCCCAGTGCCTAACCCCACCCTGTCGCCCTGTCGTTCTCCGTTAGTCAATAGAGGGGCTATTTTGGGCGAAGGCAGGGCCCATTTGTTGACGCCCATCGATGCACACAATAAAGAATAATTTAGTTGTACAACTTGAATGACGAAAACAGAAAAAAAGTCTGAACCCACGGCCAGAAGCACATATACCACCATCTTTTTAAATAAAGTAGAAGTTTTACTAATATCGATTACATTTAAAGATTACAAAACACATCAAGAAGTGGTCCATATTCAGTTATTATAGTGGTCCCGTAAAAATTGCATTTACACTTTACCCAGTAAAGAACAAAGACTAAATGTCTGCCTTAATGCTGACGAAGCCAAACCAGAAGTAGCCTAATTAGAAAGTGGGATAAAAAACACGGATTTCAAGCAGTGGTGGCGTGGTAATAAAGACCAAGAATGATTAAGAAATAAGCAAAGGAAAAATTTGCGAATACAGCAGGAAAAAATAATCACTAATTTGTGATAAGTGGAAGCACAAAGTGTCAAATGTAACTACAAACAGAGAAAGGTGAAATCAACGCATAAATGCGCAATTCCGCATAGTAGCACAGAAGCATGCATAGATAAATCCGATTTTGGCTGGTCGGTTTTATTTAGCATGACCCACTATATCTGACTACATTCTGAAAACGATCATGCAAGTTACGTTTACATGATGTGTGAGCAATAAGCTAGTTTTTTTTCTGAGAGGTAGCTACCAATCGACGGGGTAATTTTCAAAGGTGGCAAACTTAATGCTTTGTACGACAAGAACTCGAAAAAAGTATTTTTTATTATTGTCAAACACCCAAATCAATGTAACCACCACACCATTCCGCTATCAAAGTTATGATATGAACTTAAATCCAAGATTAAGTACATAAACAACACTGCAGTTAGTGTTCTAGAAGTAAAAAACGGCTAACACTCTAATACTTACAGAATAAAGTGAACGGTTACGCATTAGCAGTAGGAACGAAAAACGAAGATTATTAGCTTACTTGAGCACATTGAAGAAGATCCTTGGGGCCAAGGTAGGATAAGATTTTAATAGCTATTTCATAGGGGAGATGAGATATGAAATCTCTACGAAGCAATGGCTGAATTTCAGACTTTAGATGAATTAGTTCAAGATGAGAACAGGTATGTACAAGGGCACTCAATTCAGGAAACCTGTCATTTAGAGGAAAGTTTGTGTAAGCAGGAAATAAACGACCAGGATCGTCCTGAGTCAGGCATGAATCACATCTTTTGGGCGAAATGGACATGGAAGCTTCCAACTTTTCTTCGCCGGAGTGCCTCCTTTTTCGAGTACGAAGTCTTCTATTGCTCATTCGCGGTTAGGACAGACAACAAAGACGCATACTAAGGGTTACATGAATGTACACCTGAAGTAGTAACAACTACGAGTCGCGAGGGACGGGAGATCGAGCAGACCCCCCAGAACTATTTTACATGACATTCAAAATATCCCGTTAATGACTGTCAGTTATAACAAACCTAGAGAAACCAAATTGTAAAAATGGTCTGAAAGCATTATGCAGTATCAAAAACCCTGGTTTTTAATTTAATTAAATTTGAAAAAACTTTTTACATGCTTTAAGCCACTAATAAAGAAATCATATAAATTATCCATGATGCAGCAGTGTGTATTGGAATCACTTTCGCAAATTTCTTAGGCACTAGGTTCAAAAAATATAAAAAACTTGCAAAATCAAAACAGTGATGGAAATCTGCTTAAACTACTGAGAATTTATGCATTTTTAGGAAATAAGGCTATAAACCTTGCAACCTTCATACTGCATTATAAATCTAATACAAACTGAATGATAATTTTTTCATTAGAAAAAATCCGAAAACCCTAATATATTTGAGAAGGTCAGAAATTCAGTGAAGTGATGCAAAACGTTTCAAAAGCTAAAAAATCAAATTTCACCAGATGCTTTGAATTCTGAATTTAACACATTAATCACAAATGGTCTACCTGATTTTTGGACGGCTGTGTTTATTTTTTATTACTCGTTTAGTAATCATTGGGCTTCTAAGGCCTTTTTTGATTTCTAATTAATATCCATAGGAATTAGTGTTGTCAAACTGATTATGTATTGCTACCTTTGTATAGAATAGCAACCAGAGGCAGGCTGTATTTGAACCTATTGAGACAACATTATTTTGATTTATATCTAACTTTACAATAAAACGTATTTGAAAATTCCTGGTAAAAATTCTGTAATTTGATTTGGCTTTAAACCATTAGGCAATATTTTGCTTATGATCCTTAAAAAATAGACGGTTTAAAATTATTTTCTCCAGCAAATAGCCAACAGCAATCAATTTGATAGACATCGTTGTTTTTGTAAGAACAAATTGTTTCAAAATTTTAGATTCATGAATATAATCACGTCACATTACACTGCAGATATTTCTTTTTTCTGATATGTCTATAATGCTTTAATCATCTATTTTTGGAGGACTTTTTAGTAGATTTGAATGTGCAATTTTATAAACATTCTAGAATCGACATAAATATATGCAAATAGATTGACATCTGCTTTATAAAAATATTTACTGACTCGAACAAAATCCACTTGCATTGGCGAACCCATTCGACATTTTGAATCACCGGCTTTAAATAGCGAAATGCCAAAATTAAATTATTTGCACTTAAACGAGTGTAGAATGTGGTAAGTTTTGACATGGAATCAACCGTTGCCTCTATGACCATATTTCCACTTGGCAATAGCAGTTGTAGAATACCCGAGCCCAAATAGGTAAAAGACTGGTACAACAGAACAGGCTTTATTGACCAATCAGAAGCCAGAGCCACGCATCAGGCGCCTTCCATCCGAGTCCACCACGCTGGCCACACCGCTCATTATATACTGCATCTCAGTTGTGTCCTTCTCTGGTTGGCTGCCTTCCTTTCCCGCATGCCATTGGATCGCAGGGAGACACGGGATTGGCTGAGGCCAGGT